CTAATGTATATAATATATAATGTTCTTCCTCTCCCCCCCCCCCTTTTGCACAAGTCGAGGAGCGTGTCAGGTTACATTTCACTGCGTGTTATACTTGTATAACTATGCATGTGACGAATAAAGAATCTTGAATCTCTTGAAGGATGTTCCTCATTTGTGGATTATAGTGTTGAGATTTCAGGAGAGCGTGGCTCAGACCTTCACATCTTATTTTGTTTTAACCCTGATATTGCTTCCCTATCAGGCCATTAAAGGTGTATATTTTAAAAGTAGTGAGTAACGATTCATTTCTGGGTCACTGGCATCTGTTTACAGGCACTGAGGCAGAGGTGGAGGCGGACGGAGTGGCCGAGGTGACCAAACAGCTGGAGAAGCAGGCGATAGAGGACAAAGAGAAGGAAGAGGAGGGCGAGGAAGGTGACTGAAGTCAAACATCAACACTTTAACCTGCGGTGGTGTGGACGGGTCAAATGTAAACATTGGATTTAGTAGCTGTTTTTTTAAAAAAGTCTTAACTTACACAGACGGAGACGATGGAGAGAACTCTGCAGGAAAGAAGAAGAAGAAGAAAAAGAAGAAGAAAGGAAGTGAGTTAATGATATTTTAGTGGAAAAGCAGACTCGGTGTGTTTTATACCGGAGCCAGGTGTTTCTGTAAGACATCTGTTGGTGAGTCTTTGTTGTGTTTTGACAGCCAAATGTCAGACTGATCCTCCATCTGTGTCCATCTGTGAGCTCTACCCAAGCGGAGTTTTCCCCATTGGACAGGAATGTGAATACCCTGTCGTTCAGGATGGGTAAGACGAGCATACACACACACACATACACTTGCGACTTAAGTTCTACTTCTCTTTTAAATCTCTTTAGCTTTTAAAATGCCAGGTGGGTTTTTTCAAAATAATATTTTGACTTTTTTCTAAAACTTCTGAGTTAATTTTGGGAATTGAACTTACTCTTGGAATAGACGTGGATTTCCCTGCAATGCATATTTTTGATTTTATTCCTGAAATAATATTGCAAAATTATTCTCAAAATTCTAACTACATTTCTGGAATAATATTTCAAAATCTTAACTTATTCTCTTTTTGTTAGTATCACTCAGTGGTACTAACAGTAACAATAGTTAGCATGGAAGGACTTCTTTAGTGGTGTCCTCTGTGTGTGTGCCTGAGGTGTGCAGGTTTCATTTAATCTATCTTTACTTCCATTGCCTTCCCTTCTTGTTCCCGTGTTTTCTGGCTGAATTACATCAGAGGTTTTACATGTGAGGCTCCTGCAGCAAGCTGTGGACCACACTGTGCAGTGTTTATATCGCAGTCTTTATTTCCTCTTTCTGGGAAACACTTTTTAATCTTGTGATCTGAAAAATTACTCATCTCTGTCTTTAACAGAGGAGAGACTCTGTATTTTCCAGTAAAGACAAAAACATTCAACTAAGTAGTTTCAGCAGGTGCATATTCATGAAGAATGTGGTCTCCAGATGTTTTTATTAGCTTTAGAAACTGTAACTGAATTCAAATTTGATGCTTGAACGTGCTGCGCTGCTGTTTTTGTTTCACCTCCCAGTCGCAGCGCCGTGTCACGCATGACCAACGAGGAGAAGCGGGTGCTGGATAAAGCTAACGAGGAGATGTGGAACGACTTCAGGCAGGCGGCCGAGGCGCACAGGCAGGTCCGGAAGCATGTCCGCAGCTTCCTGAAACCTGGCATGACCATGATTGAAATCTGGTGAGGCTGCTTTTATCTTCTGTCGCTCGTAGAGGCGGCTGTTTTGGAATTAGATCAGAAGATTTGGATTTCCTGCTGATGCCCTTCTCTGTTTTGATTAGCGAGCGGTTGGAGGACTGCTCTCGTAAGCTGATAAAGGAGAACGGGCTGAACGCCGGCCTGGCCTTCCCCACCGGCTGCTCCCTGAACCACTGTGCTGCTCACTACACTCCCAACGCTGGAGACACCACTGTCCTGCAGTACGACGACGTCTGCAAGATCGACTTTGGCACTCACATCAACGGTACGCCGACTGAACCTTTCTGCTTCTTTTACTGCTGTTTAAAAATACATCAGCCACTGGATGCTGACCGGTGTGCTTCTTTCTTCCGGTGTCTGCCCGCAGGGAGAATCATTGACTGTGCCTTCACCGTCACGTTTAACCCAAAGTACGACAAGCTTTTGGAGGCCGTGAAAGACGCCACCAATACCGGAATCAAAGTAAGACCTGAACGGACGCCTCGTTTTTAGTTGGTGTGTGTTTGTGGATCCTGCAGCTGAAACATGTTTGTTCTCCTCTGAAGAACGCCGGCATCGATGTGCGCCTGTGTGATGTCGGAGAGGCAATCCAAGAGGTGATGGAGTCCTACGAGGTCGAGCTTGATGGCAAAACATACCAGGGTGAGATTACACTGTCATTACAGGATACTCAACTTTATAGAAAACAGTAGTTTATGCTATCCGTGAAAATCCACCCTCACGTGCACCATGACTCGTGTGGTAATGTTCACAGACTCGTGCATTTCTGTTTCATCTGAATTATTTTTTGTTTGTTTTGTTTTTTTAAGCAAAAAAATAAAGAAAAGAGCAAAAATCTGCAACATGTAAATGATCTGAGGTCGTTCTCGCATGACAGAGCTTCACGTATTTTTCCCTCTGTGATCCTTTTACTCTAAATGCAGCAAAATCAGAGCTCAGACATAATTTTAAACTCTGCGTAGCTCCTGTAAAAAACTGACATGAAGAGCTTCAAATATTTCCCAGTGCTTACTAAAGACGTGTGCAACTAGTCAGCAAGCGAGTTAAACAAATTACTCTTATTTTATTAAAACAACAACTGGCGTGTCCACAAGGCGTCTCAAGTCTGGATAAAGGTGGAGAGTTGCATCAAAAAGGACATTGAACCAAAAATTTTGAATATGCCGATCATGAAAAATTAGATTCAGGGCATTATTCTAAGATATAAATCTACAACGGAGTCTCTCCTCTGCTGATATTTGTGTGCTGGTGTGTACACAAACTGAATATTTTCACTTTAAAACTGGGAAAAACTTACATTTCGTCTTTTTTTTTCCCTGTGTTGCAGTGAAGCCCATCCGAAACCTGAACGGTCATTCCATCGGTCAGTACAGGATACACGCTGGAAAGACTGTGCCCATCGTTAAAGGAGGAGAAGCGACGAGAATGGAGGCGAGTACTTCCTGGTTTGCTCACATTTTGATCAACTTACTCACTGCACGTGATTCTAACGCAATATCAGAATTTCTAAAAAGTAAAAAAAAACTAAACGCTGTAAAAAGAAGCTGAAGAGCACCTTCAGCTTCACTTCTGACGATTTTATTTTCGTTGACTCGGGTGTCGCTCTACAGGAGGGCGAGGTGTACGCCATCGAGACGTTCGGCAGCACGGGTAAAGGCGTGGTCCACGACGACATGGAGTGCTCGCACTACATGAAAAACTTTGACGTCGGCCACGTCCCTATCAGGTGAGAGCCTGTGTTTATTTAGCTCGCCTGGACAGGGAGCGTATTAGTTAGCAGTAACTCACTGACTCCTTTTCTTCTCCAGGCTGCCGCGAGCAAAGCACTTGCTGAACGTGATCAACGAGAACTTCGGCACGTTGGCGTTCTGCCGGCGCTGGCTGGACCGCCTAGGCGAGAGCAAGTACCTGATGGCCCTGAAGAACCTGTGCGACCTCGGCATCGTGGACCCCTACCCCCCGCTCTGCGACACCAAGGGCTGCTACACCGCTCAGTTCGAGCACACCATCCTGCTCAGGCCCACCTGCAAGGAGGTGGTGAGCCGGGGGGACGACTACTGACACCCCTACCTTCCAGCACCACCAGACCCCGCCCCCTCACTACCACACAGCACCTGTTGGAGAACTCGGGGATGAAGTGAAGGATGCCAGACGCTGACAGTGCACAGCTTTCAGGGAAGGAGAAGCAGCTGTCTGAGCGCTCCGCCATCAACCACAACTAAAGAAACAAGCCCACACCTTTCTCTTGGATAGAGCTTTTTGTTTTTTTCCAGTTTCCATCAGGACTATCATATTGCAAAATATTACATTTAAGCTGCTGCTGAATTTAGTGCAACCCCAGTTTTCAAAGAGTTTCTCTCCACTTTGAGCCTCCGGTGCTTTGGTGCTCTGTTAAAATGAAGCACCAAGGCCACTGATGGCTTAAAGAAGTGGTCAGGCCTGCATGCTGGCATGGCCCAAAGTCTTTGCAGACTGTTCCTAACATTTAAAAGCTCGGGGAAGAGGTGGTCTTGTAGTTAGATATTCATACAGACACCGGTAACCTGCAGCTCTATGTTTGGCTTCTGTTGCAACAGGAGGGAACTCTGCACTATGGCCCTCCGCTTATCGGTTCTTTGGTATTTGTAAAGTATCTTTGAAATGGCTGCTGCCACTCTGTTCCAGATTAAAATGCTTCATTTTCAAACTCTCCCTGATAATGCTTTTATAAGAAAGAAAATTAACTAAATAATTTTGCTCATTTGTGGGCTCCCTACTGATGACTTTGTGCAAGAAACCTAAACAGAGCATTTTCTTAATTTTGTTCCTACAACAGAGGAAGCCCCCAAAAGTTCTGCAAACCCAAATCTTTATTTTGCTCAGACAAGATGGGGAAACATAACTTCATGGGATGTTGGGGTGTCCTTAGGAGTAACTGGTAATAGCGTTACTCTATCACACGGTGGTTAACATTAAAAAAAAAAAAAAAATCAGGTAAAGTTAGGCTACCTTCTCAGCCATGCTTATTTTAGACTTGGTTTAGTGAAATTAGGTATTAAACCTTATTGATTAATCAGCGGTTAATTTTATAAAAATGGTAAATGGTTTTATACCTGTAAGTAGGGTGCTACCACTTAGAAAGGTTAACATGGCTTATTTAAGCTTAGCATGAAGACTGGAGACTGTTACTGGCAATAAAACTTCTAATACCCTTCAATAAGGGGAATTTTCATGCATTGTAGATTGAAGGTAAATAACGAAGCACAGACGGGCATCTTTTGTAGAAAAATGAAAAAATATTCTCATTTATTGAGGTAATTTTTTTTTCTAGAAAAAACAAAAAATTGAGGTAATAATTTGCATAGTATAACTTCCATCAATTTACACACGGCGCATCCATGGAGCAGTAACCAAAATGCCAACAAATAACAGAACTGCGGACAGAGGGAAAAAAAAAAAACCCACACAAAGTGTGCTTCGACTCCCCTCTGCTCAGAGGGAAGATAATTGAACAGTGAAATCTGTTAACTGCTGGTGGTTTTCAACAATCGGAACAAAGTGGTTGTATAAAGCGTTTAAAACAGTCGATGGCCTCCTTTGTAAAATCTCTGAGAAGAATTGTATAAAAAGTACATTCATAATCTAAATGCTGGTCTGTGTGGGACTCCCACTTTGCTGAATTGATATGAACTATAAAAATAGATTATTTTGTTAAAGGGCACTTTTCAAGTACAGCAGTTATCTGCCTAGTCAGGGATGGTTTACGGTTATGCAGTTACATTCTGAGGCAGACAGGGGGCAGCACTGAGCCAAATAAAAATAAATATTAAACCAAAAACCACATTAAGTAAGAAAATGTAGATTTACAACTTAGCATGCTGAAAATAAAGCTCTCGAGTAGAACACAGCTGTAGGCCTCATTCAATTTTACTTGCATTTTTTCCCCCTGAAAAGATAGTCCTCACCTTTAATATCACAAAACTTGTGTACTAAAAGAGAAATGCTTTCTTTTGTAGTCTCAGTAATAGTGTTTTGACTTTAGTCTCATAATTTGGACTAATTTCCTCAAAATGTTGACTTTCTTTCAAAAGAATACAGACTTTATTCTCAGATTGGTATTTAATTTTTTTAAGTTACTTTAATCATATTCTGACATTATTCTCAAATCCAACTTTATTCTTGTAACTATTCCAATGTTTTTCAAAATGTAGACTTTATTCTCAAATGTTTTTGTATTGCAAAATTATTCTCAAAATTCTAACTATATTTCTAGAATAATATTTCAACACTCCAAATTATTTTCTAAATCTAACCTTCTTCTTAATGTGGCCCTGTCACACTCATTCGTAGCTGTCATTAAAAACTCCATAAAATACTGAACCGTTTAGGAGAAGCAGGGCTTTCCAAATACTTCCCGCAAATACTTTGGCTTGAGGTCTGCCTCAGAGTGAAAAACATTGCTCGTGTACAGATTTTTAAACAACCAACACTAAAAACCTGTACTATACACATTAGTGCATTTTTTGGCAAGGAATCGGGATGAACGCCTGTGAAAATGTTTACCTGTCTCAGACACACGGAGGCCATTTCTACTGAGTGAATGACAGTTTATAACCCTACATCCAGTTCTGTGTTGACTATCTAAAGTGACTGAGAAACATTTCAGCTGATTTATAAAACAAAACAAACAAACAAAAACCCCAAAACACAGCATTTACAATCAACAAGCCTCGCGCACAGGTAAGCAGACATACCTGTAGAGTATGCAGTCATGCCTGACCAAAGTCTACTGGCTGCTTGACAGACACCTTGGCTGACGCTCTCTTCTTTATAAAATACAACTGTACATGAATCACAAACATAATCTTTAAAAAGAAAAATACCTACATATAAACACAATATACAACAAGTTCACAAAGCAGAACCCAACTTTACAAACGAGTCCTTTCTCTCTCACCTCCTTTTTGTTTTGTTTTGTTTTTTTAATAGAAAAATAGACTAAAAAGACCCAACCTCCCAGATACAAAATGCCCAAAGAAAGAGGGAAGAGAAAGACCGATAGGTGGGGCTGTGCTGATGTCACCTCGCTGAGTAGTCGGGCTGCTGGGGAGGTGGCAGCGGGGTTCACAGAGGGGTGTAGTCCTATAGCGGCCGGTCTCTGTCCTGAGATACTCGCTGCGTGTAGAAGAGGATGTAGGCCTGAGCGCGGCAGACCTCATCCACCGAGCACACGTTCAGCTTAGAGTCATTACAGTGAACCCAGAAGCCTGGAGGAAGAGGAGGGACGAGTTACCCAGATGAGCAGATGTGTTTGGAACAACACGTTTGTTTACTGGGGTTGGTTTTTGAAATCCCGCTCCCACAGAGCCACATACTTGGACACTGGCTAAACAACTGGAAAAGCACTCAAATTCTACTTTTAATCCCATGGAGCACATATTTGTTTTTTACTCTGTAGAACTGGTATCAAAATCACATCCTGAATACTCAACATGACAAGATGTTGGGAAAATTAAGATCAACACAACCTGGTAATATCTTAAAAACTTAAAATCTAATTTTAAGTTTAATAAAATAAAATACCTCAAGTTTAATTTAGCAAAAAGCCTTGTGCCAGTTACTGAAAACAAAGATTAACTTAGCCTAACCATAATCTCAGCGTACACAGAAGTTCATGTATATAAATATCAGCAGGAAAGAAACTAAACTACATTTAACCTTATTCACATGCAGCAGTGAATGAATCAGGTGGTAAAATTGGACCAATAATCCTGAAAGCTTCCTCGTGTCCTATTAATAACCTGCAAATACAGCTGAGAGGGCCGAGGAGGGAACGTCATCATTTCTGCAGGAATATGAGGCGTTAGTTTGACTCTTTCGGCGACGATGACGCTGCGTTTCGTTCTGACAAGATAAAATTCATCCTGAGCATGGATCTCATGAGAATCCTTTCAGTGGCATTTCACTGTGGCAGAGGAACCTCTGGACTTTAATGTGGACATTTTGAGAGGATGAAGGGAACAGTTCCCACAGCATTAATCCTCCTGTGACCGGGGCATTCACTGCTGTGTACACTTCCCTGCTTAAACCCAAACACAGAGAAAGAAGTAAAGAAAATGACTCACCTCCTTCTGTGTTGTAGCAGTAGGAAGTGTAGTGGCCAGAGCCAAAGCCCTTCCCATGATGCATCACCACGGCCGAGAGCTCGTAAAGGAAGTGCTTTGAGCGGGGCGAGCCAGCGGCACTGGGGCTGCTGGGACTGGAGTAGGGCATGGCTTTGGGTGAGGGCTCTCGGCAGCAGTAGGGCTCCATGTTGAGGAGCTGGTCGAAGCTGACGTGGACTCCAATCTTTTCCCGGTGGTTCCTCCCAGACCACCTGAGGACCAATCAGAAGGCAGAGAAAAAGCTGAGAGGTGATCTTCTAAGAACAGCTGAAGGTTATTAGTGTTCTTACTAGAGTCTCGTCTCTAGAAGTCACATCTATGTATAATAAAGTGAAAATTTGAGTTAACACTTAAGACACGGTTATATTAATCCAATCAACTCCACAGGCGTTAACGTCTCCTCACCTGAAGCGTTTGAGGTGCAGCCTTAGGACCTGAGGCAGTTTATGGACCATCAGCTGCTTCTGTGCTTCGGTCAGAATGACTGGCTTAGATGAGGCCCGTCTTCTGGCAGCTGCACACACATGGAGAGAGGAAAGAGCTGACACACAGCACAAAGATCACTTTTTGCGAGTGTCGACGCAGCTTTAAAGCGGTCACGTGACCCTGTGATTATGTAAACTGCTGCAGAGCGATAAAGGCGCCATTTTACATGAACATTTTAGGGTAGATCTGAGAAGCAGTGCAGGTATTTGTGTTAGTTTAGTCCTGAAGGAACCACACTTCTAAATGCTTTCATTTAGAAGTGTGAAAACATGTCCTTGATTTCCTGGATACCGTTGTTGGGTATGTTTATTTTTTATTAGCTGCTGCCTACAAACCGGAATGTCCCCACCATGTCCTGTTTTGTTTTCACGACAGGCACTTAAAGGCTTTCAACATTTGAGTCAGTCAAGACTGCAGCCAATCATTTTACCCATCTTACCCTCACTGTGATAGTAGGGAATTGGAAGTTTGCTTGGATTTCAGCTAAGCGGTGTGAGTGCTGCACGGCACTTACACCGCACGGCAGCGAAAAGCACGGCATCAACGTAATGAAACGCTGGTAACATGTTTTATAGTCACCAAAATGCTTCCATTTGTTGTTTCAGTGTCACAGATGTGACTAAAAGGTGCAATTTGGTTGCTATCGGTGGTTGTTGGACTTTTTTAATTTTAGAAGGGAGCATATCACAGGGAAAAGGAAGTGGGAACAATAGAAAAACAATAGAAAAATAATACTTTTACAGTACAACAAGCACACACTGTGGTAACAGGGACCACTTTCAGTAGTTTTAAATGTTCAGGCTTTCATAGAAATTAAGGTTGTGACCCAAGTTTTTACTTTACATCTGGTCCATAGATTATATAGGCGCCTGGCCATGGAGTGCCTTTCTTCTACTTATCCAGCCACCGATCTGTCCTTTTAGGTTTGTTTTTTTATTTTTTTTTTATTCCCTCTTGAATTTCTCTGTCTTTAGGTTGATCAAATGTCCAAAAACATCTTCCCTCTGTGAGTTTGGACACAGCTGTTTTTCATCTGTCTCGTCTTGTGAGTCCGAGAGGGATCCTTCAGTTTTCATTAACAATGTTATACCACAAACTTAGTTCTACCATAAAGCACGTTTTAGTTACTGAGTGATACTTTTACAGGCTTAGTTATCGTTTAGTTTGTATCCCCTCTTTTTTCAGCATGTTTTATAGGTGAAAACTGTAAATATCTTGAGATTAAAGTAAAAAAAACTGTGTGGCTCGTCTCACTCACAGTTACACTGGTCACAGGCGTAGATGTTTCCCTCCAGAGCTTCGGTCTCTGTAAACTTGGCTAGCATTTCCGTCAAATGGCACGAAGCCTGAGCGGCCGACTCCCGGCTATTACTGTGATATCGCTCCGGGAACTCCAGCGACAGATCCCAGAAAGGCTCCACAGTGTTGGAGCGATGGTCGCAGGCCAGGCACGTCACCTGCATGGAAAGGTGAGAAAGAGTAAGAAATAAGCAAACAACAGAGGAGACGTCAGAAGGAATATCTCTATTTCTACATGTGACTGGGAATACATAGAAATTAAATACAAATGTGGGGCTTTTCACAACATCCACTGACCCACTTTCCAATCCAATCCAATTTTATTTATAAAGCACTTTAAAATACCCAGCACAGGAACAAAGTGCTGTACAGAAAATAAGTTAAAACAATAGAATAACAGAAAACAGCAAAATAAATAAATAAAACACATAAAATTAAAACAGCCCTATGTGTGTGTGTGTGTGTGTGTGTGTGTGTGTGTGTGTGTGTGTGTGTGTGTATATATATATACACACACACACACACACACACACACACTTCCTTTGTGAGTGGAGGGGTGGAAGCCAGTCTGAGTTTGTTATATGGCCAAGACATTTGATTGCAAAGACAGAGCGACCTATTCAGCAGCAGCAGCAGGTGTCACCGTGTGTGCTCAGCCTCTACAAGCAGAGACTAATCTCTTCCTCAAGCCAACTCTCTCCATTTCCTACATCCTCATCCACCTTTAAGGGGTGCAGCTGTTTAGCATCATGTCGACAAGTCAGAATATTTTCCTATATTCCTTCCCTCCCTTTTATTGAAGGTGAGACAATGAAAAGTTATAAGACACAGATTTAAGACCACCTGGTATAAGCAATAATTAATTAACTACCTTGATAACTTACATAGGTAGATGGATATCAGCTTAACAGATAAAATTTAAATAGTGTGCTTGGCTCTTCCTTTTATAGCAGTTTTTTAATGTTACCAGAATCCGCAGAAATATAGTAGTTAACAGTTGAAGCTTTTGTCTATAAAATTAATAAATAACTCAAGAAGAATTCCCGGTGCATGGGCCAGGTGGGGGCGCTGTACTATACTGGTGTGTAAACAGTTGATCATTTTTACCTAAATAATTCTAAGTGAGAATTAGTTTAGACATGAATTGAAATCAGACCAAAAATAAATACTCCCTGCTTACAGTTTAACCACCTCTCTTTAGTTTGAACTGTTTATTCTGATTATTATGAATACAGGATGAATCAAAGCCAGTGATGACTGATAAATTCAAATCAATGCAAACACAGTATGAGAGCCAATCTGAGATTTTCATGCCTTTATATGCTCCTCTGAAGGTCACAGCCTCTGATTAGCACAATAGACTTAACGATATGTGGACAAACTGTGCTAACATGTTCAGCCAACCCCAAACATTCATTTTAAACCAGTAAAGACTGTCTTAATAAATAAAAATGTCTATTTAGTAACATTAATTTATACTTTTTGAAAAACTACTAAATAGTCAGTGATTTTCCTTTTGTCCTGGCTGAAACGTCTTTAGTGGAGCACGGTACGACACACACACACATCAGAGCTTTTATAATGTATGTAAGAGTGTGTGTGTGTGTGTGTGTGTGTGTGTGTGTGTGTGTGTGTGTGTGTGTGTATGTGTGTGTGTGTGTAGGTGTGTGTGTGAGTGGGTACATGTGCGCGTGGTGTTGACCACGCTGAGCACCTGCTTGATGAGCCGCTTCTGCGTCTGTGGGACCCCAGCACTGGTTGTGTGCTTGCCCGTGCTCTCCAGCTCATGCTGCACTTTATCCAGCAGCTCGCACAAGAACTCCTGAGCGTCCTGCTGAGCGTAACCCCTGAACGCCGGGATCAGCTGCCACACTGAGTGCAGCATGGCAAAAGGCGATACCAGCGCCCACTTGCCAGACCACATGACCTGGAACAAGGTGTGCAACTCATGGCACAGTGAGATGTGCTTCGAGCTGGGCTCTTTGGGTTGTATCAACTCCATGCTGCGGCCTCGTGACGCCCCGCCGCTCAGCCCCACCCCAGAGCCCGAGCTGGTCTGGAGTCCCTTCCTTTGGATCAGGGGGGGCTGCGATGAGGCCTTCTCCACCAGTTGGCCATGGACGGCAGATGCCAGTAGCTCCAGCGCCTGTGTTAAATCCAGACGCAGGAAGCACTCCCTGAAAACATGCAGGTGACTCAGCACCTGCAGGATGGAGTTCATATAACAAGTGTTTCCCAAATTTCTTAATCCCGTCACTCCAGGAGTAACGGTAGGACGCCGCTTGAAGGGCGAGCCGTCCTGTTTGGTGCCTTGCTTGCGGCAGACAGGGGTTTGGGCAGTATGCAGGGTTGCTGAAGCGGCTTTGGGCTTAGATTTGGTAGTTGAAGAATGGCTGCGTGCTTTGGGGGTTGGTTGGACCTTTTTTTTTTGTCCAGCTTTCTTGGGGGTTACAGTGGCGGGGCTTCGGGTTCGTTGCCTGCGTTTCAGGGATGGGGGCGCTGGAGTTTTCGTCTTGTTGCGTGCCCTGCGAGAAGTCAGCATTGTGGTCGTCAGATCCCCAACTCTCTGGCTTTTCTGACGCAGGCGACGACTCTTCCTGAGAGGAGCGTTCTCCAGCTCCTCCTGTAGCTGCCTCTTGAGAGCTCGCCTCCTCTCCCTGGCCTCCCTTCTTTGCTCCTCCTCCTCCTCCCTCCTCCTCTCTTCCTCTGCTCTCCTTTTTCCACATTCAGTCAGGCCAAACCAAAGGCGAAAGATGCGTCCCATAAGTGCTCTGCGGCGGTGCCAAAGAGCGGTAAACATTCGGTCCTCGTCCCTCAACTGCAACTCACGAACGCCGGATGGCATGAGGACATCCACGCTGGCGCTAGCGGAGCGCAGAGTGCGCCCGCTGCGGGTGGTGACCTCATAACGCTGGCTCTGGATGGCGCTGAGTGTACTGCGAAGCAACTTGAGGTCTCCGGTGGCGTTATCATTCAGAACATAGTCGTCACACAAATAACAAAAAACATAAAGTTCGTTAACCTCCATCGCCAGTGGGTGGCCCTGCTGCTGGAAGTGCTGCAGAGCATGCTCCTCGATGTAGCGGCCACACGCCACGTGGGCACAGCCGAGGCAGCCCCATATGGACTCGGTGGTGTTGCAGTCAACGCAGTGCCACTTCTGGGGGTTAAGAATGGAGTGGTCTGGGGCCAGCCGCAGCCGCCCCACATGCTTACACCTGTCCATTACACAAGCCTGCCCGCCAAGTTGGCTGTGTCAGTCAAACTGACCTTTTGGCGTGCAAGTCTTTGTTTGTCAGCGCTTCACGCTGGCTTCATATCACCATGGTAACCATGGCGAACTGAGAAGTGAGACCCTCCCAGGGCATGGTGGTGTTGTCTAGAGAGGGAAGAGAAAAGGTTAGGTGAGAACTTTGATAAGTTTACCTGTGTACAGGCCACAGGCGTTCATGTTAGAGCATTATTGTTTAACACCATTATTCCTTCGTTTAAAAACACATCCTTTTAGACGGGATTTTTAAACATAATACAGATGAAAAAGAGGCTAACAACAAACAATATACTGTTCATTCTTTTTCAATAAAACTGAATGCGTAACTAGACTGTAGTTTAAAAAAACCCAACAACTTATGACTGATGGAGTTTAATAACTTCTATGGTTTAATTGCTAAGTCCCATTTTAGGTTTGTTGACTAGTTGAGCTTTCCCCTTCAACCTGACAGCAACAGCAGGATTACATCGCTCACTATTGGGGAGGGGGGGGAAAACCCCAAACTGCTCCAACTGCTTCATGCCTGGACCTTTCATTCCCGTGCACAATTTATGCATCAGAACATCAACATTTTGTCCCCTTTCACCCGATATCGCTATTGTTGTGATTGGATGTATGGTTTTGACACAAAACTACAGACTGCAGTGCGCCCACCACAATGCCGCAAACATCTACGCAAAACAAACACTAAACACTTTTCACTTAAATGTCCCACTACACGCAGACATCTGCTTTTTTCATTTAAGATTAAAACCAGATGAATTACCAACCCACCCACCCCCCAAAAAAACAACAACATATATTTTTAAATGTATACCTTCATCCTCTTCTCTTTACAGGAAACACATGAAACCAGAAATTATTATTGCATCTGATTTCCATCGACTGCTTTGTGAGGTTGTATCTACGCAGAGTAAACTGAGGCAAACTGCCAGGTGGCATGCGGACTCAAACATTTCTCAACCTCAACAGGGACCAGTAGTAAAATAACTGGCGAATAAACACAACTCTACGGAAAGAGGGTCGCTTTCACACTGGGGTTGACGAGCTTACCGAGGCTGTAGAAAAAAGCAGTTTAAATCTGTGGGAAATCGGTTAAAGTTCCACATCATAGGCTAGATTTTCTAAAGCCTCAAATCAAAGGACTTGGATAACTTAAAAGGGTCTAATTCCTTCTCAAACCATAGATTCTTATCTTGGTGATTTAAGTGTTCAGAAAATGAAGCAACAAAAAATAACCGTTTCCAAATGTCTCCTCTGCAATACAGTATTGTAAATACTTTTTGACAAATCAATAACCAAGCAGAACAATCAGCTGGTTGCAGATGAACACTAATTCCAACATCTTGCACAGCAACTGACAACAGTAGTTCTTCTTTAGCTCTGTACAGCATAGGGACACAGGAACAAGCTGTCTACCTGCTGCAGAGTCAAGCTAAACTGGTCCCAACTACCAACTGCAGCTGCAGTCCAAAATGGAGGAGTTGAACAATCAACTCCAGCTGCAATGAAGTTGAAACCTGTTGCTCAGCCAAGAGAAGGGAGACACTACAGATAGCTAGTTAGCAGCAGCTGGGCTTTAAGAAAATTTTAACCTGAAAGATGTTAAAATTAGTTTCAGATTGGCACCACCAACTGTTCACAAGACATCCTGGTTCTGCCAGAGGTTTCCTCCTGTTGCCTGTTGTGGTTTTCTCCCATAAACTGAAGGGTCTCCATCTTAAATGATAAAACGCCTTGAGGTGACTGTAGCATAAAGAAACTTGAATTGAAATCGAATTGTTTATATAGCTGAGCAACCAGTATGCTGAGAAGCTCTAGGTTCAGCTAAAAACATACCAATCACTCTTCACAGAACCTCTTCTGGCTTCTTTTCAAATCCCACAGAGCTGCTAAGAATTTGGGGATCCTTGAGTGGGCTGACCCCCCCCAACTGATGTCAAGGGAACAAGATCATTGAGGGGGGGGGGAAAAAAAGAGGGGGTCTGAGCTTACAAAGTGGTGCACTATGGGCACACTGTATGGGTACAGGGCAGTGTACTATAGAGCAAGTTCAACATGCTCAGGGAATGATTCTGTTATCAGTTTCCACTGTTTTCAGGGCTGGCAGCTGTGGCTCAGAAGATAAAATGGCCACTTACTAATCAGAAGGTCAGTGTATCAATTCCCAGCTACTCTAGTCTATATGTAGACATCTATATGCAACAACAAGACACTAAACCCTGAATTGTTCAAGTACTTGAGTTTAAGAGACAGTTTTAGTTTTTATTCTCTCAGCTGCAGCCTTAGTGGTGTTCAACAGTCTGAGAGTAAATACAAAGACAGAATACAAACATAGGCGTAGTTGACATCCAAATTAGATATAAGGTCAACAAGTACAAATGGATGTCCTGTTTTAGCAACATATATTAATGCTTATAGAAAAATAAAATTTTTGTAATTTATTTATCTGCAATCAACTGGGAAATAAAAAAAAATACAATAATCTGATCTAATCTGCTATCCACACACACACACACACACACACACCTCATTCATATGTAAGGAGATGCATCGGACAGCAACTCAGGGTTAACATTTTGCAGCCAGGGATCAAAACTGCTAATTAGCAGATGACCTGCTCTAACTCCTGAGCCACAGCCACCCAGTCTGTTGGCAGAAGGAATAGTTACGTTTGCAGCATAAGTTAGCATGGAAATATATCCAGGTAGGAAAGTGAACTGCCTCGGTCATGTTTAAAATCCAGGGTTAAGCCTAAAGTTATCAGGATAAGCTTAAATTCCACTTCCATAGTACAGGCCTTAAGACTACTTCTGCAGAGGGTTGTTTCCATGCTAAAAATGTCTGGAGAGGACAGGATAGCGGGAAAATCGGTTCTAACTCTGTTAACGTTTAGTTATAGTTTAGTTAGTCATAAACCACCAATTTAGCAAAGCAAAACAAGCATGGCTCAACGCACTCAGTCCCCCTGTTTACCAGTGCAGGAGGGGGCGTGTGTGTTCAATACGTGTTCATCAGATTGCTGCCATGGATGATATAAATACAGCTGCCGGGGCACATATCCTGTCTGGTCTCCAGACATGTTGAAATGCTTTCGCGCCGAGCCTTTGGCTGGCATCGGGACGAGCCACAAACATCCAGAATAACGTGGCACGTCGCTGTCAGAGCCAGAAGCTGGTTAAGCATGATCCACATTAAAGTAATCACCGCGGAGATTTAGCAGCAACCCTCCTGGCTCAGCATTAAGAAATCAGTGGCTTCTAATTGAGCAAATAAAGCGATGACTCTCGGGGGTTGTCCCAGAGTTTCTAATGTCACTGAAGTTTTACCAGCAAGTTAGCGCGCTTTGCTTTGCTTGGTTTGTCCTTGTGGCTGTGCGTGGTCTTACCGACACACAGCCTCACACTAACTCTGAGTAAAAGAGCCATAACACAACACAACCAGCCAGAGTAGCATTTCAATAAACTGCACGAGCGCAGCACGCGTTAGTGTTCAGCCCGAGGAGCCCAACTTCACAGAGGGTCTCTCCCAAAAAGCTAAAGTTAGCCAGCTATCACTAGCATGTAATTAATAGCTGTAAAGAGTTGCGATTACAAAATACTGAATTGTGTAAAACTAACTCGAAAGCGCTTTCAAAGTCTCACAAATAAACGTCTCAAATGAATGAAAATAAAATTACAACACACGCGAACACATTTTGTTTGAACTAAGAGTCTAATTTTTATTGTATTTATTCAAGATTAGTGAGCCCTAGCTGCCCTTGCCGCTAACGTTAGCCTAGCATGCTAGGTAGTATTAGCTTGACAAGCTAGCGGTGACAATCCTGAAACAAGTTCACGCGTTCAGCCGGAGATCGGCTCGCCGGCATCGGACAGGGCTTCAAAACCGACCTGCCAAGTGTGCCTCGGCCAGAATTCACACATCGTCGGGCGCACGGTCACAAACATGTTCAGAATTAGTTGCTACTGAAAGGAAACAGCATACCAAGCCTCTCCTTCACCGCAGTAACTCCTCTGATCCTGAAATGATCGCCATCTTGTCAGTCACTGTCGCGTGGTGTTGGCTCGAGCGCGTCCGCGAGACGTGACGTTGTTGTTGTTGTTGTTATTGTTATTGTTCTTCATGACGATGATGATGTACGATGTACGTATATTAAAAGTGAAGCTTTATTGTTATAAAACTGTGAGGTAAGTTTTAGTATTTTAATACAAATGTGCATATTTAGTTGTTTTAGTTTGATTTGATTTGATTCCTTTTTTCATCAGGGATCATGCACCAAACAGTCATCTAAAAAAAGATGCCTTGTGTCAGATTTACAGTACTGTTCAAAAGTCTTGAGCTGCTCAGATCTTTGTATTTTGCCAAGCAGCCAGTAATTTTTAATTTGTTAAAGTGGTCTTGAGGAACAGTTCTCCATGCTCCCTGAAGGCATTTTCTTTGCAAATTGGCTGCTTTTCACTGATTTTCAGTCCATTCCTCGTGCTTGACCATTTTCTTTTTGCATAATTAGCCAAAAACTGGTGTATATCATCATGTTTTACAGGTATTTTACAGCATACACTCATTGCCATACTTGTCTTTTGATCTCCTTTATATATGATGACAATTTGAACCATCCACAGATCCACCTGTTGCCACTGATTTTCAATCCAGTTTTCTGCAATTAGTCACCTTTTTCTCCCTGCTTCCCTCCCTTAAGAATGACTTCTTGACAACAATTTTTCCACTGAGACCATTTCTGTTAAGGCTTCAGCGAACAGTAGATGGGTCAACTGAATGGCACCGTGTATCTCTCAAGTCCTGCACCAGGTCTTTGCTGGATTTTTATTTCCTGTTTCTTAAAGACATGACTTTCTTGCATCTTGAAATCAAGGTGCTACAATTGCTCGGTGAAAGCCCAAACCTCACCCTGACTGAAGTGCTGTAGTAGCACCTTATAAGAGCGCTGTACCTAAAGAAATACCTGAAATCCTCAACAAACTGAAACAACATTGTAAAGAAAAGTGGGCCATAATCCCACCACAACAATATGAGAGACTGATAAAGTCTTACAGAAAATCATTATTATTGCTGGTAAAGGTGGTTCTAATTCTTGTTGTTCAGTGTCAGACTGGAGGACAGGAGGCTGGAATAAAACTCATACATCAAGTTGGGGTCTTTTTTACTTGCAGCAGGCATTCATGAACATCGACATACACCAAAAGCATCTGGCTTCCTTTTATACTCTGCCTGCCCCAGATGGGTACCTGGAATAACCCAAGTCTGGGGTAGCAAAACCAAATTAAAAAGTAAATATGCACATAAACAAACACCCAATCTAAATACAAACAATCTAAAAGAGATGCTTCATAAATCAAAAGACTTTTCTTCCACAGGAAATTATCCCTATGACACCTGCAACTGAAAGGTTATCAAATGGTGATTAAAAATCTATAAAGAACTGAGAGAAAGTATAACAGTAAAATGCAACACTGTTGTAAAAGGACAAGAGATGAACGCTAATCACTAATATGGTGATGTAGTGCACAGAGTGATGAAATAAACGTTTTAATTTCAGTGTGGGATACAAAGGGGACGACTTTACATTAGAGCTCTGAAACTTTCAACTGTCATTAAAATGTATTAATCAACATTAATATTAATCAAAATTAATCAGACAGTTTTACTTTGATTCTTTTTATGTCTGATAAACACAAGTAATACATCATATGATATAATATGATTATATGATATTGAGGGGAGGTTATTTTTTTCTCTCTGCTCGCCACTATAGATTTCCTTCCTGGCATTGAAGAGGTTGGAGGAAGATAATTTAGAAAGAGAAGAATGTGGAACAAATGAGTTGGATGCATTCGCAGACATTCACTCCGTGAACTGATAGCAAACGCAAATCCAGATAATGGATTGATAACCTGGGAAGGCTGAACGAGCTTCGCTATGTACGGCCTTGGATTTCCTTCAGCGCTAACCAATCAGCAGATGTCGCTATTTCAAAAGGAAAATCCCGTGGTCAGGTTTCGAAGTGTAGACCATTTGTGTTGATGTATAATTTTACTGACTAAAATAAGTCACATACACTTTATCCTCGTTAGCTGCTACACCTCCCCCAACAAAATAAACAATGATTTTCTTTTTCAGGACATCTAAACAACATTATGTGAATTCTAATTACTTAAACTTCTGCTAGAATTATTTGGGGGAGGTGATTTTAACACCAAAAATAGATATCCCCACAAAACAAGACAGTAGATTGTGAACTAAGAAGTACACTGCACAATAAAGATACTTTTCTACAACCCTGTACAATTGGTTAATATCTTAAGAAATAGTATATAAAATTGTTTTGCTAAGATGGAGTCCTCTACCTTAACTTTAGTCTTGAAGCTCAATTAGTAAGCAGCCCTTTGCCATTTTTCTCCTTTTCTTGTCTGTCCAATCACACCTGCAGCTGAAAACATTTAATGATCAAAGCATGAATTAGAGGATATCTCTTTATAAATTCTGACTGGATGCCCATGATAATATTAAAGCTTTACCTTTGAGTCTGTGAGCTAACAATACTTGAACCCACCTCTACATATACTTAATGACAATCCTTAATTAAATGTAGTAATTTAGATTTCACTAGTAAGGCATGGGTATTAAACTGTAGTGGGGTAGGTTTTGTACCACTAGAGGGCAGTGTTGCACCATTTACATACAGATATTGTCCTAGTGAGCCTCACCAAAAACATCACTGCCAAACTAGTACAGTACAATATTTATTCTCTCTCTCTCTTCTTTTCTTTTCTTTAGAGACACCGCTATAACATGAGTGGCATTATTTCCATCCTTTGAGGGTGGAGTATCACAAACGGCCCAATGTCCCTGAGCCATGAAAAAGAAAGTATGATGGGTAAGCTGAGGCTAGTTGCTGGCTCGTTTGTGGGAACAGAGATGAAACAAGTGGTGTTTTGTCAAAGTCAGGATTTTGACATTAAAACAGGAAAAAAAAAAAGGCTTTATCAAACTACGTGTAGGCACAGTGAAGAGAAGCCAATATTTTATATATAGAATATGAATTAAATTCATATGGTTAGCTTACCAAGTAGTTGTAAAATCCCTTTAATTAAAGCTGAATGTTGGTGCTTCAGTCACATCTTGTTTGACTTGAATCTGTGATGGTGTACAGAACTGTTAAGAAGGGTGACATTTACATAAAATGTACTTACTTAAATATTATATTTACTTAAAATATCAAAATACTTATTTCACCGCTTTGCAAAACAGTTATCAAATACAAAACAATGTTTTATTAGAGTATGGTATGTGGATGATATGTTGCATGATCCTTGACATCATCCATCTTTTCTGGTTCTGGCCCAGTTTAAAAGAAAATAATGGTGGGAGTGCCGTGGACATCATGTTTGTGCATGAGTGCAGCAAAAACCTGCTAAACTATGTGCCACAAATCTGGTTTTCAAACTATCATGATATAGTATTGTGCAACTCCGAATTTGTTTTTACTACTATATAGAATATATTAATTGCAGTTAGCTTTCAGTCTGTCTCCACCTGTTTCTGTGAGGCTGTCTCAGGTTGTGTAATTACCCAATTACGCCTGTTTTTCCTTGACTTTAACCCCCTTCTCTACCACATTCATGGATCAAGTGTGTGCGTGTTTTGTCCTTTCCTTCAGTGTGTACCGGCAGAAGCTTTGAGTGCTGGTGTGGGATGCAGGTGCAGCCCTTTCATGGGGGTTAATAATAGTTGTATGGTGGCACTCACTATGTAGATCTTATCAGTTGAAGACAGTGGCTTTACTAAAAAACAACACACTGGCTGCTGTTCAGACACAACTCCAAATTTAGCAACCAATGTGGGAAAAATATAGTAATTATATAAGAAGCTCGCCAATGCAGTTTCTGGAGACAAAGACAAGATCCCAGAATGTGAAGCAGGTGGAAGGAAATGGTTCTACGGTCAAACACAGGCTTCTCCACATTCCCAACAAATCATTAGATAATCTGAAAACAGTAAACATTTTAGGCCAAAAGTGTACAGAAGGGTACATCAAGGGTTTTAGTAGCTCCCTGTAAGAGATGAAACACAGGGGTACAGATTAATTCAGGAAATGTTGTCTGCCAATCTGAACACTCGCTCACTCAGACTGCTTATAAAGAATCCCTCTCAGGTACAGATGAGTGTAGACGCTGATCCATACAAGCTTCGTTAAACCCCCTCTGAACAGCAGAAGTGTGTGTTTTTAATGCGAGTGTGTACACATCACTAGACCAGTGGTTTGTGTGAGAGAGATTAGGGGCGTTTGTGAGTGACTTAGAGAAAGAGGTATGTGTTGATGTGCCATGCAATGTCTCTGAATCATCTCTAATGTTTTTCTCCTTCGATGTCCCCAGGCCTTTACTGCCTTCATGTCCACACATGCAAACCCTCCCTCCCTTTCTCGTCTTCTTTTCATCCACACACTCTCTCTCTAGTAAACACATTTCTTTGTTAACTTTACTTCTGAGGACCTTATGTCCTGTACTTTAATAAGTATTATTACCTCAGCATTACTTCGAAATAACTAAATAAATCACAACAGGTGTTGCTAACTAAATATTCAGAGATTTTGGGCTCTAGCTCACCAGCTTTTTGTGCGCTCCTTTGACTTTGACATTTTCCGTATGGTGTAGAATCTTACAGTTCTTATGAACCCTTGTTTTCAGCAGGCTGATAAGACCCACTGTACACAACCTGCACAGCACCAAACAGAAGAAAGATAAAGTTAGCAACCAGGTGGCAAAGACTTGGAGTAGCCAATCAGACAGATATTTTTCCCAGGAGCTGCTGAAGATTGAAGCAGAGATACATTACCAGTAAATAGTGGACTTGGATTTGTCAGCTGGCCAGAAATATGACTCATACGGGATGATAATATTGTTCTGTGTCTGCTGAATCTGTAAACAGACACCTGTTTCTCTCTCAGAGGCTATCAGAGCTGCAGATTTGCACAGTTTTGTTTTTTTTTTGGATGGATGATGTACAATATTCTGACATACAGTTCTGTCTATAACTGTGGATGCAAGCGGAGACAGAAAACTAAATAC